CTGCTCGAAGACTGGGCGACCATGGAATCGTATTCACTCCAGGAGCTCTTGCCCTGCCTCGCCATCTGTGCCTTTATGACGGGCGAGCTCAATCGCGGCTTTTCCGCCAACGAGATGATCGAAGGTCTTCGCGTCGATCAGAGCTTCCGCGACCAATCCACCTGCATCTCCGAAAAGCGCGACGTCGAGACGCACCTCATGCTCAGCACCTTCCACCTCTTCGACCGCGGCCTGGGCTATTCGCAGCCCGACATCCTCACGCACGATCGCGCGCGTTCCAAGATGCAGCGGGGCGGTGGCCTCTGGATCGAAGCCACAGGCGCTCCACTGTTGCTCACGACCGCTTTCGCCACCGATGGATGCAAGACGTTCCTCGAGAAGACGGCATGCTCGCTCTACGGCTTTGACCATCTGCCCGTCACGGCAGACATGCATCTGGTGATGATGGTCAACACGCGCTCGCGCCTCGAAGAGTGCGATCGCAACGAGTATCTGCCTCCGCTCCGCAAGCGCTCCAGTATGCCGCCTCCCTCGCGCCGGCTGTCGAGCCTCACACCGGATCTCAACGACAAGGAGGAGGTGGTTCAGGGGAGGAGCATCTCGCAGATCGGCGTCATCTTCATCGACGAAATGGCGCAGGGCATGCAGAAGTGGAAGCTCGGTGCGTCGCTCCACCGCACGGTTCCGTTGCACTTTCGTCACATCTTTGGGAAACAGCGAGCTGAAGCGGCGGCCCAGACCAAAGACCTCACCTCAGGTCGTCCTTCGATAGATGCGAGTCGTCGAGACGAAGCCTCTGTGCCGCGCAAGCCCGACTCGAACATGGCCGAGGGAAGCTTGAGTCAAGCGCAGTCGTTTTCGCACAACTTTCAGTCGAGCTTCGGCGCTGCTCCCCAACCAATCGCCACGACAGCTTCGAGCTCGAATGGGGGCATGTTTGATATCCCCACCTTTGACTTGTTTGGACCGGCGAGTACGACCGACTGGACGAATCACGTGCCTTGGTTTGACCCTATCGACACGAGCGCTCCCATGCCTGGGCTGGCGCCGCAGCCTGCACCGCAGTGGGACGGAGTTGGGATGGGACCGATGCAGAATACCTGGCCTGCACCGCAGAGGCAACGGGTGGATACATTGCCGCCGCTGCAGTATGCGGGTATGCCGCCGCCGCCGCCGATGCAGCCTCAGCCGTCGATTCACGCGCATGGCTATCCCGCCCACGCGCCCAACCATCCAGCTGCAAACGCGGCGTGGAAGGATGCAGGTCAGACTCATACCAACGGACACCAGCAGCATCACTACAACCACCACCGTCCCTACTACAACCAGACGCACCAGGCGCACCAGGCGCATCAGCCACATCAGCCACATCACGGCGGACGCTAGAATCGCCGTCAGAATGTACGTCTAGACCGCGCGCTTTGTCTAATGTCACACACGGGTAGAGACAGGATGCAGCCTGGGCTTAGGATGCTTGGAATGGGCGTCGAAGTCTGCATGTGAGAGCGAGGCAGGTGGGTTGATGCTGCCAACTGCCAGGACAGAACGCTGAACAGCACCGGCCACGCGACTCCAACTCCAGAAAGAAGAATCGCGGCGGGTTTCTGCTCGTCTGTCTTGCACCGTTGATGTTCGAGCGCGAGGCAAGGAGACAGTGTCACGAATGCGAGTTCCCACTTTACAGGCATTTCACGAAGCAATGAAATGCGGGCACAAGATGGATGTTGTAGCAATGGCATGTGCGGTGAAGCTGTCTACAAGTGTGTAGGGCGTCATTCTTTGAGATTGGACTGAACGTCGACGATGTGGCTACGCTTCCTGGACACCCTGCTTGACACTGCGCATGATCGTCTCGATCTCGGCGTTGAGCGTGTGGCACCACTCGTCGAGTCTATGGTCGCTCTTATCCCTTCCGAACGGATCCTCGATCTCGCTGCTGATGCCTTCCAGGCCGACCAACATTGCGCTGACGACTGTGGTGAAGGGGACCATCTTCCATCCGAGCTCGCCGACGAGCGCAAGTGGCAGCGCCAGCAGATAGATGAGCGAAGACTGCTTGAGGTGGATGGCGTAGATGAGCGGGGTCGGGGTGGTGGAGATGCGCATCATGCTCGAGAAGAGCGTCGAGAGCGTGAGGAGTTGCGTGTTGAGGAGGGAGAAGCCTGCGGGTCCGAGGTCGTCGAGCAGGCCGGCACGGCGAGAGGTGGCGAGGTAGTGATGCAGCTCCGCCAGAATGCGCAGCGGCAATCCAAGAGAATCGTGCGCCATACCGGAAGACCCTTGGGAAAGAAGAGGTGATGCCTCCGAGACCGAGATCTGACGTTCGATATCCGAGACCTTTGCCGTTGCGTCGTAGGCTCCGTTGGCAGGTTGAGATTGCAGCCACTCTTTGGGCAAGACGGCTCTTAGATCCTCCCACTGCGTTCCATACTCGGCCCTCAACTCGTGTTTGACCGCAAGCATGAAGGCGCCCACCAGCCTCATCGCTCTCTGCTTTGCCCCCACCTTGTCCGTATTTGTGTCGACGTTGATCCAGACGAGGAGAGCCCAATTTCTGGCGGTGGTCTGGGCATCCTGCCAGAGCTTTCTTCCCTCGTACCAGCGGTCGTAGCTCGTGCTGTTTCGAAAGACGAGCAACAGACCCACTACGACAGAGAGCGTGGATGTGACGGCGTAGCTCGTTGTCCAGCTTGCATGCCAGATGAGATCGGCCGCTGCGATGGCGGATGCGTAGAGCGTGAGGAAGAGGACGGTGGGAAAGACGCGCGGCAGGATGGACGAGGAGATGCGGAAGCAGTCGAGAACGAACGAGGTGCGCGACAGTCGTTGTTCGGAATGCGCGTGTGAGCCGGAGCCGAAGGAAGAGGAGGCAGAGGCAGACATGGTTGGACGAGGTGGCCTGCGGTGGTGGCGAGCGAGCAAGTGGATTGTGCGCTGATGTTCGGGTGTTGGTGTGTTGGTCGTGCACGGAGCACCGACTTTTGGCCAAAATTTCCACGCTGGCAGCTCGGCTTTTTGTCTTTTAAATGGCCGGCTCGGCTATGGCCTCCCCCACAGCTTGAATGTGCGACTCCACTCTCCGCTGACGAGCATCTGGCCGTCGGAGCTGATGTCGACGCTCATGACTCTGCCTGCATCGCCCTGGAGCGTCTTGAGCAGCTGCCAGTCGTCTGCGGACCAGACTCGGACCATGCCATCGTATCCTGCGGTGGCGAGATAGAGGCCCGTGCTGCCGATCCCCTCGCCCTCGCTTAGCGCCTGTCGATAGGCGAGGGAGCGGGAGAAGCGCACGTCCGAGACGGACGACTTGTGAGCAGGGATGGTGTAGAGAGCCTTGGTGGCGCGCATGTCCCAGATGCGGACGGTGTCGTCTCCACTGGCGGTTGCGAGTTGGTATCCGTTGGGGGCGAAATCGATCGAGAGAATCTCCTTTGCATGGCCGTCTAGGACCATGGCAGTCCTGCCTGTTCGCAGATCCCACACGCGGCCGATGGCATCGAGACCGCCGCTGGCGACGAGCGCACCGTCGTCTTGGAATTCGACCGAATACACTTCTTTGCTGTGTCCCTCTTGGACGGTGAGGCAGTGGGTGGTCGAGGCGTCCCAGAGCCTCCATGTGCCGTCGAAGGATGCGCTGGCGACGTAGTCACCGGATGGATGGAATGCGGTTCGTGCGACGCGCGCTTCGTGGCCCTTGAGCGTGGCTAGCGGACGATCGCTGTCGAGGCTCCAGAGACAGACGTTGGCGTCGCCTGCGCCCGAGACGAGGTTGAGCGCGGTGGGATCCTGGTCGAGTGTTGCGCGGGGATGCCAGGCGAGACCTCCTACCTTGTCCGTGTGTGCGCGGTAGGTGAGTTTGTGGGTGGCGCTGGGCACGTGCCAGAGCTTGATGCTGCCGGACCAGCTGGCGGTAGCGAGCAGTTTGGAGTTGGGCGCGAAGCGAGTCATGGCGATGGGCCTGTCGTCGCCCACCTGCGAGCCCAAGTTGGTGTATGCCTTGATGGGGTCGAGCACGTCTTGCCTCTTCTTGACGATGCTCGAGAGAGGCGCTTTGGCTTCGTTGCGTTGGCGTTGGATCCTGTGTTTGGCACGTAAGAGGGAGAAGCAGGCGATGTTGCGTCTTGCCTCGACGAGGCCCTTTGGACCTTCGGTGTAGAACTCTTCTTCGTCGGAATCGTCTTGGCTGTCCGAGGCTTGGGATTGTGTGGCCGAGGCGGTTGCGGTTGCGGGTTGCGATTGCAATCGATGGGCGAGGACCTGACGCAGACGCTCGCGGCGGTCCATCTCGCGTTCGCCGAAGCATGTCACCGGCTCTCCCAGCTCTCTGAGCCGCAGCCTGACCTTTGGATCGGAGGTAGGGACGGCGAGGTTGCGCGCGATCTTGCGCGCATCGATGTGTGCGGAGAGGGCGGCATCTGCGGCCGAGTAGGTGGAGCGGGAGGAGACGAGGTCTTCGATTGTGACGCCCGATGTGGTGGCTGTGGGTGGCGAGTCGATTGGCATTGTGATGACGAGGATGAGGAGGAGGAGGAGGAAGAAGAAGAAGAGGAGGAAGTGGAGGCTTTCCGGTCCAACTCGAGTTTGGCACGGTGGCCGAGCCCAAGCCAGTTCCGACTCCCGAGGAATTGGAGACAACGACGCGAAAATGCGAAAAATCGGAAGAAAGGTCGAAAATCCAACCGAGAAACGCATTTCCAAAGCGAATAAACCGTCTCAGCCCAAAATGCGGAAAGGCGGAAATGCGGAAATGCGACGCCAGCGAGGAGCGCACAAACCCGCCTTTTGAACCTTTTGGTGCGAGTGTTGGTCCTCGTCTCTCTGCCACCACCACCACCACCACCACCAC